TAAACAAATGTTTAAAGATATTAGGGTCAAAAAATGGGGTGGAAGTCAACCCTGAACCCCCTATTAATAATCATGTCACAATAATATATGTATATTTCTCTTCTGACCATTAAACCAGATTTTCTCTACAGTCAAATTTTCCATCTTGTTCAACAGAAAGAAATTTTAAATTTGAAAATTGCGCAATTTCCCCATCCATAATAAGCCATCAAGCCTTGAATAATTTATGATTTTGGTTACGGCCTACAAGCTTGTGAGTTGTTTCGTTATTATGAGAAGAATTGCACCTCCTGAAGTTTCCTGATTATGAAAATTGCACCACTTTCTCTGTCTTCTCTGAAGAATTTAGTGTTTTCTGATCCAAAACTCAAACCATTAAAATGTTTCTTCTTCGCCGCAAACTACGGCGCAGGTCCGGCGGCTCCTTGTGCCTTCTCAGAATCGGATACGGCGGAAGGCCGAGAGTGGAACGCCGCCGTCGCCGCCACCCCTTTCAACGGCGTCCTCCAAGATGAAGACCTTCTCCGCAAGACCCACATTTCTCCTCAAACTTCCACTCCTTCTACTGGGCTGTACGTTCTGGACCTCCTCAACCATGGTTCTTTAGAACCCGACCGAACCCTTTACAGTAAAATGCTGAACAAATGCACCCATTTGCGCAAACTCAAGCAGGGCAGAGTCATTCACGCCCACATCCAGGGTTCTAGTTTCGAGAGTGATCTGGTTCTTCAGAATTTCATTCTAAACATGTATGCGAAATGTGGCAGTGTCGAGGAGGCACGGAACGTGTTTGATAAAATGCCTACGAGAGATATGGTTAGTTGGACTGTGATGATTAGTGGCTTTTCTCAGAGTGGTCTAGCATCTGAGGCTCTGGCTTTGTTCCCGCAGATGCTCCATCAGGGCTTCCAGCCAAACGAGTTTACCTTGTCTAGCCTGTTGAAGGCTTCTGGAACTGGCCCCAGTGATGACCATGGCAGGCAACTTCACGCATTTTCTCTCAAATATGGCTACGATGTGAATGTTCATGTGGGAAGTTCACTGCTGGATATGTATGCTAGGTGCGGGCATATGCGAGAAGCCAAAGCGATTTTTGACGGGCTGGCTGGGAAAAACGTGGTGTCTTGGAATGCTCTGATTGCTGGTCATGCCCGGAAGGGCGAAGGGGAGCATGTGATGAGGCTGTTTTGGCAGATGCTAAGACAGGATCTTGAACCTACTCATTTTACATACTCGAGCGTTTTTTCTGCTTGTGCCAGCTCTGGATCTTTGGAGCAGGGGAAATGGGTTCATGCCCATGTTATAAAGTCTGGGGGACAGCCCATTGCATACATTGGAAACACTCTCATCGACATGTATGCCAAATCAGGCAGCATCAAGGATGCAAAGAAGGTTTTCCAGAGGTTGGTTAAACAGGATGTTGTTTCGTGGAACTCGATTATATCCGGATATGCGCAACACGGGTTGGGGGTTGAAGCCTTACAGCTGTTTGAAGAGATGCTGAAGGTCAAAGTTCAACCTAATCAAATTACTTTCCTCTCTGTTCTTACTGCCTGTAGCCATTCCGGGCTTCTAGATGAAGGGCAATATTACTTTGAATTGATGAAGAACTACGAGATAGAACCACAAATTGCACACTATGTGACAGTTGTTGATCTTCTAGGTAGAGCAGGGCGCCTAAATGAAGCCAACAACTTCATAAAGGAAATGCCTGTCAAACCTACCGCAGCTGTCTGGGGAGCCTTGCTTGGTGCTAGCAGGATGCATAAGAATATGGATCTGGGCGTTTATGCTGCCGAACGGATTTTCGAGCTCGACCCTCATGACTCAGGTCCTCATGTATTGTTGTCTAATATTTACGCTTCTGCTGGTAGATTGAATGATGCAGCAAATGTAAGGAAGATGATGAAAGAAAGTGGAGTTAAGAAAGAACCTGCTTGTAGTTGGGTTGAAATTGAGAATGAAGTCCATATGTTTGTGGCAAATGATGATTCACATCCAATGAGAGAGGAAATCCAGAGGATGTGGGAGAAAATTAGTGGGAAGATTAGAGAGATTGGGTATGTGCCAGACACAAGCCATGTGCTTTTCTTCATGGACCAGCAGGATAGAGAAGTAAAGCTACAATATCATAGTGAGAAGCTAGCATTAGCATTTTCAGTGTTGAAAACGCCTCCTGGATTTACCATTAGGATTAAGAAGAACATTAGAATATGTGGTGACTGCCATTCAGCATTCAAGTTTGCTTCAAAAGTCTTGAGGAGAGAAATCATTGTAAGAGATACCAATAGATTTCACCATTTCCTTGTTGGCTTATGTTCATGCAGGGACTATTGGTAAACGGTAACATGCTTGAGGAAAAACTGGTTCCAGTTCCAGGCTATTGGTAACATGCAGAAGAACAACATTTTTACTTGCACGTTCTTCATTACCGAGATCTGATGGTTTAGAACCCAAGGAGGAGCAACTAGTTGGAGATATCCTTCAAGAACTTGTGTTCAAGCTCTCATTTTAGTAACTTAAAATCTTTGCTGTCTCCCTTACTTAGCCATTGGGCGATGTGCCTATTTCTAAAAGCGGTTGGTTGCAGAGCCTGATGCAAGCCTTCTCGAGGCAGAATTTGTATTTCAATAGAATTCGGGAGAGCTTTGACTACTCAAAACTCAGGGTTATTGAAATTCTGAAAAGAAGTCTATGGAATTCAATGAGTGGAAACCTCAGAGATCAAACTCATCAAGAAGCTCAAGATCCAAAGGTGGGTAAGAAACATAATTCTCTTCTTCAACCTCAATTTTGCAACAAATTTAAACTCTCATTTTTATGATAAGTTAATGCTATGTGCTAGAAGAATACAATGGATTGGATGAGATGATAAATGAACAAAATTATAAGCCAGTGATTGATGATAATAAATTACGATGCATTTTGACCAAATACCTAGACATTAGGGAAATTTTATAGCTCCCAATTGGGACTCTTTGGATAGTTATCACTTTCTCTGTAAATACTTAGACCATTATGAGAAGAGTTTTGAATCTCTAGTCTGCTATGAGTTTGGCTGATGCCTTATCTCCCTCCCCTATGAAAAGAAGTGGAAAGCTGTTCTATGTCTTTCTTGTATTAATTGCAATTCATGAGCCAACTGATTATTGTGTATCAATCTGGTTGTATATGCGTGATTCTCAGGCTAAATTCTAGCGGAAGTATTTACACCCCTACAAGATAGTTATAGTTACCACCTTACCACGACTTTGTTGTTGCATGTTATTGGATCTCGAGCAATGTGATTTGAAATCCACACTCTCATTCATTTTGGATATCGTAAGGATTTTTAGACGGTGAGTGAAAATCTTTCTTACAACTATAATAAGCTTTGATTTTCGGTTTAAATAATAAATAAATAAATAGCTAATCTAAATCTTTTGCCTTTTTTCTCATTCATTTTTTTCCTACTTTGGCATACTCCAAATTTGAAAGAAAAATAATGAACAATACTAATACGTTTCTGTTCTGTTCTGACATTCAGTGAAGACTGACAAGGAATTTGTTTCTGTTCTGTTCTGACATTCAGTGAAGACTGACAAGGAATTTAATGCTGGTGGAGATGATCGATGGTAGTATAAGAGATTTGTGACCCTGAAATTCTTCTTTCTAACTACACTCTTTTTTTTTTCCTGAGTTGTTTTGCTTATGTTGATGACAGAATAAGAGATTTGTAACCCACCTGTATTCTTTACATAATGGTTCATACTTTCTAGCCATGGTTGTAGTGTATTTCCACAGGTCATACATACTTGATGTCACATCGTGTACGCCCATTCCTTTCAAGTTTGATTTTGTCCTTTGAGACAATATGTGAACCCAATTCGAGTTTGAAGGTGGAAAAATGAATTATATGATCTCATATATATTTTTCTCAGCTCCTGAGGCTTGGTTCGAGATTTTTCTCTGTTCTTTTTGATATCGACTTGGTTCGAGATCTGAAATTAGGTTACGACGAAGATCAATGGATTTTTAAGGATGGAATGCTGGAACGCAATACAACATTTTCTTTGTTTTATTAAAAAATGGTCTTTAAAACATGGAATACACTCCCATTCGAGCACGCTCAATGGATGAGGCATAAATTACCAAGGTCAAAATTCAAACTATTGAGAAAAAATATGGAGTACACATATAACAGGTTTTCCATTTTGAGTCATTTTATTTTTTAAAAAAATCAATTAAAATTCTACGTTGCTTTGATTCTCATAGAGATAAGCTCCTTCAATTTTAATAAATTAAAGTTATTTATTGCTCTAACTCTCATAAGATAAGCATTAAGCAACTCCAATTTGTATTGGGGGAACAAAAATTCTGTAACCGTTCAAGCAAAAAAAAAAAATAAATAATAATAATTTGTTAGTTCCCCATTTTGAGTCTATATTCGATTTGTGAATTAGTTAATTTCGAACTATAAATTTATGTTGTATAAATTTAGTCTTATAAAATATACCTTTTACATACCACACTATCAAACAAATATTATACAAATTCAAGTGCTAACTCTACCTCTATAAACTCGACTTATTAAAACTATGAAACTTTGTCACAAATATCATGCATTAGTATGAATTTACCTTTACAATCAAATATGATCAAGACACAATCAGCTTATTGTAAGAAAAAGGCACAACATATCAAATGATTATACAAATACCTGATTAACCTAAAACGGGTTCCTTTTCTTTGCCATTTTTTTTCCTTGGAGGGGGAGGGGGGGCTTGAGACACTCGTAATTGACAAAGGAATTTAAAGAGAATGTAAAACGACGTACTCGATTTGAGCAGCAAGACTCAACTGCAACAACCCCCAGCTTGAGCAGAAGTACCATCCCTGCCTCCGGATGGCCCTGGGATTCCACCATATCCAACTTTTATCCCATATGACTGCACATAAAAGATGAAATATGGCTTCGGTTAGAAGATATCTTATTGCAGTTTATCCATTGGTTAAAACAAACTGAACATTAGAATCTAAATTCTGTCATTTAAGGTATTCACATGGTTAAATGTTGTCATTGGCCAAGCAAACACTGTCCAATTATTCTGGCGGCAAGACAACTTTCATTACCACTTCAGGTTTTACAAAGGTGAATCTCAAAACACCGTGTGCAATTAAATGCAGTTTCATCACCACCATGCAAGAGGAAATGAAAATATGTAATGGTAAAAGTACAAGTTAAGGCATGATGCAATACCTCATTAGATACATCAAACACTCCATCCTGGATCTTCTTATATATGGTTGCAGCAGTTTTGATGAATGCCTGTTAAAAAGTTATTGATCATCACGTAAATTGTGGGACACAAATTGAAAATGGTTATAATATATTGAATAGATGGATGTTATAATGGTATCTTCATGTCATGTTTTAGAGATGACCAGTAACCGATTCAAAACTTTGTGAAAGGATACTTATGATTATTCTCTCACCTCCTCAACATTTTGAGCAGTTTTAGCAGAGGCCTCCATAAAAATCAAACCATGTTCCTTTGCGAACTGCTCCCCTTCCTCTGTGCTGACGGCCCTTCTGTGCGCAAGATCACACTTATTACCAATAAGCATTATTGTCATGTTCGCATTAGCATGCTGTCTTGCATCTTCAAGCCAGCTAGCCAAGTGATTAAAGGTCTCCCTCCTGAAAAGTATAATAGCCACATCACCGTAAGTTGTCTGTTATAATTCATTGGCTCAAGAATTTGAAACCACGAATAGCCATTTCAGCTTATCCAATCCATCAAATTAAATTAGAAGGTTGAATCACACCTTCACACGGTTGCACAGGTCAGAATTGTTGTCAAACCTGAGTGATCGCAACATTTAGGAAGTACAGTCTTGCTAAATTTATTCCCAGAATCCCATAAGTATATAAGACAAAAATAAACAGAAGCAAACACCAAAAAAAGATGCTTATACTATATACTGTCTACCCAAACTTCTACTAGAGTATCATCTGCACGGCATCTGGCTACCATATTGGTCAGTTCCACCAACCAATACCTTTTTGGCCTTGCACTATCATGAATACATGGTTTCCCTGTGACTGAGCGATTTCACAAAATCTCACTCGACACAAATTATATTGCAACTTCTAGATGACTGTAGAATGGAAATTAGGTGCACTGAAAAAGATTGATCATGAATTGCAAAAGGAACAGTAGTGTCCTTGGCTATACTTTGGAGGATCATTCATACAATAATTCCCATACCAATGGCTCATAGGGGAGGATGATGTGCAAAATAGCTCGCTAAGTTATTAACTAGACAGTAGTATTAAGTCAAGAGGGAATCAAGAGGTAACAAGACCTGGTGATGTCGTAGACGAGCAATGCACCAGCAGCCCCTCTATAGTAGGACCTCGTAATAGACCTGAAGGATTCTTGACCAGCCTGTTATATTTTTGGGAAACTTCAGAATTGGAAAAACTTAAACAAAAATGATATGGAACGTTAAAGAAAACCACAAATCTAAATCAAAGGAACAATTATAGACACTAATGAACCAATAGAAAGGACCAAATTTTGTACCATAATTATCTCATATATATATACGTATATATATAACATAATATATAGAAAAAAGCAACACATGGTGTTGATTCAATAGTGACAATCATTACACGACAAGCAGATTGTAAGTTTGAATAATACCCATTAATCTGTAGAATAGGCATCCAATGTCATGTACGCGTACTCTAAGCTTAAGCAGAGCACTTGAGCTTAGAGAACATTTATATAGATAGTGTTCTTAAATTCACACCACTTTACAATGATATACTGTTTCGAGTATAAAGAAAGGTACAAATAGCATAGTATAATATGGATCCTATAGAGGAATCACGAAGGGAGGTTTCCTGTTTCTATAAGTTATGTTTGCTCCTTTCACTTGAATTAAGATGCAAGCTTATAGCAGCAGAGCACACGTTTGTCTCTCTCTCTCTAATATTATTACAATTGATTTCATCTAAATGGATCTTAACATAAAACAAAATACTAATTCACGAAACTATAATACAAGTCATTTAATAGATAAGCGGCACAGTTGAAATCTAGAGTTCTGAAATCGGGAGAGTTCCATAGAAAACTACAAAGGGAGTGACAGAGAGATAGATAGCTAACCGTATCCCAAATTTGCAACTTAATTGGTTTGCTGTCGATGGTGATCATCCTGGCACCAAATTCCACACCAATAGTCAAGTCATGAACAGGCTGGAATCTCTTATCCGTAAACTGGAGAAGAAGACATGATTTTCCAACTCCTGGAGAAAACGCACAATTCAGTTACGAAACTCGCAAGAAACATTCAATCGAAGCGGTCACATACACCATCGAATCATAGAGACAGACAGATCAATCACCACAAAATCAATGAATAATTGAAAACGAAATCAGATCGAAAAGGCGTACCAGTGTCGCCGATAATTATGTACTTGAAAAGGTAGGCGTATGACATTCCGGTTGGAGATCCGCGGCGAGAGAGAACTTGGATTGGGCTGAGACGGGGAATCGGCGGAAGGAAGAAGGGAAACGCAAGAGAAAGCGTAGAGATGGAGTTTGAGTTGCAGAGTTGCAACGATGGCGCTGCGTGTTGGATTCAATTACGATCTCTTCGGAGTTCTGACTTTGAAGGCGGAGGAGCCTCGCTGGCAATTCCTATAAATATACAAACTTTATTCACCACTTTATCGTTCCTCGAGCCTTCTATATTCTTCACTCAATTTTGTGATTTTTTATTCATCTTCTAATCTCGAACTCTAATAATTTAATTTCGTCTCGTGTAATTTAAGGTTTCTTCTTAGTATAAAGAGTAATTTAAGGTCAAATTACAAATCAAAACTTTATGATAGGTTACTTTTCTTTTTATTATAATTATAATATATGAGGTGTGAGATTGAACTTAAAACCTCTTAGTAGTTTGAAATTGTACCAATTACTGTTGAGCTATGTTCACTTTTAACATGATAGATTACAACTAAAAATATATGCTTCATGAAGTTGTTGTGAATTTGACTTGAAGTTTAGAATATTTGTTCTCGAGTTTAGTGTTGTGCACTTTTAAGGTCTTTAAATCTTCTAGTCTTTTTGTTCATCATGAATTCTGACTCCTTTATCTATATAGTTTTCCATACTTGAGTGAGTGTGACGTTGAGTAATTTTTCACCCAACCTTTGAATTTGAGGTTTGTTTGGGTCATGGACTCAATTACTTTAGTGAGTTTGTGTTAATGACTTTTGAATCCAACATGTGGCTATAGATAACTCATTTATTAAGGAAATATTGAGTTTTGGGCCAAGTTACCATCTAACAGGTTTTGGATTTATTTTATGTTGGGCCCAATTTTAGTATAATCCAAGTTGATTAATATATGATGTCCTAAGAAAGATACGTGACATTATTTGAAATTGTCATTTTTTGCTTTTCAATTTTTTTACATTTTGGGACACGTGTAAATTTGTAATTGGTTTTAGATTTAATAATATATAATTTCATCATTATTAATAATGACGTGACATTTGTGATTGACCAAAATGGATGGAAATAGTGAAGTTTTATTAAATTATAGAGACCAATTAAATAAGTTATTGGCCAGAAATTGAAACTTTTAAAACTATAAAGATAAAACTTATAAGTTAACCCTAATTTAGTTAAAGGTTTCAAACGTTGTCGTGTGTATATCAATTCTTACTAGTCAATCTGAACGTAGCTTTAACTGCTTAATTAGTTAAAGTATTTGTGTCTTATCAAAAGGTCGTGAGTTAGAATTCCCACTCGACATGTTGTACTAAGAAAATATATCAACTTCTACTAAATATGTATAAATCTATCGTATTAATATATGCTATTTTTCTGTTGTAGTCCTTGTATGATTGCAAACAATTTTTTTTATATATAAATATGAATCGATTATTTTCTAATATATTTAATTCAATGAATCCAAAACTTTTCCTTTTTTATATACCCAAAATGATTGCACTTTTAAATAATTAGTTGGTTTGATTTTTAACCTAATATGTCTAAAATCTATCGGGCCTTTTGAAATCCTTCCCTCTTCTTTTTTTCTATTTTTCTACACCGTTTTTCTTTTTCAATTCCCCGCCTCATATATATATATATTTACACTTGTTTTTCTTTTAAATTTAATATAAACGTAATCCCTACATTTCTTTTTTTTTTTATTCTTTATCGCAACAACAAAATTTGGTTGTAACATTTTAATATTTACTAAGTAATTAATTATGAGTTTCTTTTTATTATTTAATTCAAGAGTTGAGGATGGAATGATCTTATTGATTATTGAAATAATATATTTAAAAATGAGATATTAAAAATTTAATAATTTTATATTAAGTTACTAGATTTAAAATTCCTATAAATACCTCTCAAAAGTCAAAACACAACCTATAACCAAAATCTTCTCTATTTTTCTTCTCTACTTCTCTATTTTACTATTTTAAAAGTAATTGGAATAAAAATGTGTTATTTGTTGTGAGACTTTCAACCTCTAGTTGATTTTTCAGTTAGGTTGTTGTATCGTAGAGTAGATATGTCAGAGAACACCGATGATTGATAAATAAAAACATACCGTATGTTTGAATCTCCTTAAGAGAGCGAGATACTTGTGCCTCGACCTAATTGTTTAGATATTTGTTTTCTCGATTTTTAATCCAATTACATCTATTATCAATAATTCCCCCAACAAATTCTCGTAATTTTGTGTAGTTTTTTTTAAGGTTTGAAAATGATTTTGATAAAAATAGAATCTTTTTAATTTATATTTTCAGATTTGATTAGGCATTCAAAACTTGATCAGACTGTCCTTTTTTTTTCTTTTTTTTTTTGTGTGTCAAACGTTACTTTCCTACTAGGACACGTGAAAATAGGCCTATAATCAAGTGTGAAAATACAAATCTCTATATTTTGAGGGCTTATCATATTTCAAGAATTTTTAAACTTATTTTTAAAATAGAAAACAAAAAGTGAAATTCCAAATAGATTTAAAGTATTGATATTCATAATTATTTTTAAAAACCTTAAAAAATAACTACCACTACAATATTAAATTATCTCATTTGTTTTAATTTTTAAAATATCCAACCCACTAAACTATGGAGAGAACATTCAAAATAATTCTATCATAAATGATATGACATCTAATCCTTATCCCCATTTTTGAGTCCTCAAAATATTGGTTAGGCCTATTTTTGTCATTAAATAAAATTTAACTATTTATTAAAATAAAATTGCGGGGATAGCTCAGTTGGGAGAGCGTCAGACTGAAGATCTGAAGGTCACGTGTTCGATCCACGTTCACCGCAAATTTTATTTATTTTCTGTTTTTCCCACAACCATTCGTGTTTCTTAATGGGCTTTCATTTGTTTGTTCTGAACTTAATTTTGGACTCTTCCAAATTTGGCCCGTCGTGGCCCAATTTGCCCCAGGCCCAAACCAAGTTTTTTTAAGTTTGCACATGTGATGGTGATGGTAGTTGTATATTGAATTCGAAAGAAAATATCCTCCCACCTAAAAAAGAGATATATATATATATTTATATACATAGTAGATTCATTACTTCAGGTTACATATTGGGTATGGAAATTGAACTCTTTTTTTAATAGAAAAATGGTATCTAAATTTATAAAATCATATTTTACTACATTAATAATAGATTTCAATTCCAACAAATTTATAAGTATTTTAAAATATCCAGAAATTTACTTTTTGAACTTGACATGGTTGTATCATTTACTACAATATCGTGACATGTAATGGGATTTCATTTATTTCTCATCTCAAAATCGTCTTTTAAATTAGTCTAAGTGTTGAATAATAGAGAGAATTGAGAGGTATCCACTCATTTTGTTTTTTTAATACATATTTGTAAATCTGTAAAAATTACACTCAGTCAAATTTCACATTTTTTTAAGGGTACCTATAGTTATATTGAAATAACAATTTAGTACTTGGACTTTTATTTGTAACGATGTGATATTCATACCTTCAAATTATTAACAATTTAGATATTGTAGTTTAAAACTTGTATCGATTTAATATCCATCGTAAATAATGTTGTTAAAATTTAATGAGATTTCTTATATATGTAGAACAATTAAACCATGAAAGACAAAATGTGTTTATAAACTAGTCAACATGAACATAGCTCATGTTACTACCACCTTTCAAGTCAAAGGTTCAACCTCTCATTCCTACTATTAAAAAATTGACACTTAATTCTTTTTATGAATTTTTTTATGATAGAAACTAAATTGTTACAATTTTTAAATTAATTAAACTAAATTATTATATATTAAAGTTCACTTACTGAATTACTACTCATTTGAAAGTATAAGATAAAATCGTTACAAATTAAATCTTTGCTAGAACGAAAACATAAAGACCAAAAATATTTTTTTTAACACAAAATAAAGTTAGTGGCATTTTACTTCGCAAATCTAACCGACAAAATACAAATTCAACATTTTTTGAAAAAATAATTGCTCAACTTCTTATTTGTAAATACAAAAAAACCAGAAATTATTAAAACATAAATGATAAAATTACACTTGAAAGAAAAAAGAAACTAATTATTATCAGAATTTCCCAGAGTCGTGCCAAAATCCAAACACGTGATTCATAATGTTCGTGAATTCTGGTACGCTGTGCTTCGGAACGCAACACGTGATTTCTCAGTTTCTATTCGGTACACGCTGTTCCACTGATTCCCGACCTCGTGTAAAACGTGGATCCTCCAAAAAACTGCATCTTCAGACGATCAACGCAACAAGATCTCTCCACGTGTCCATCTCCTCACTGGAGCCAAAAAAGCGACCCCCACTGGATTTCTAACCGCACCCACTACTGTTGCCGAATCACGAAACTGCCCTTCCTCTCCATCAACTGATAGAAGAAGCGGCTCCGCTCAGCTGTCCGAATCTGAAGAAAATTCAGGAGAGGAGAGAGTTGAATTTCGCTTCAGTGTTTGATCCTTCTTCTCTCTGCGGCTCTCGCATTCCTCGTCCATGGCGGATCTCAGGTCAACATTCCTCAAGGTCTACTCGGTTCTCAAAGAGGAGCTTCTCAACGATCCCGCCTTCGAGTTCACTGACGCTTCTCGTCAATGGATCGAACGGGTAACATCTTTGATTCTTCTCCATTTGTTTTTTTTTTTTTTTTTTTTTTTGTATAAGAGGCTCTTTAATGTCCGTATCTGTGGGAGTGATTTCCATTTGAATGAATGAATGTCGCTTGACTTTTTTAATTTTCCTGCGATGATGACGTGTTTTTGCTTTACTTTAGCTCGTTCTTTCAGCTTGATCCTTTAGTAGAAGCCAGTGGTTTTGATTTCTTGCAATTGACTTTTCAACTACGCTCTTTTTCTTGATTAAGGAAAGTCAACTCATCTGAAAAAGCAAATGTGAATTTAATTTTGTGTCATTTTGAAAGTTTGGGATCATTATCTGAAATTAGTTCTCGATTCTCTCTGAGCTGTTGTAAGGGCTGCCTAAACAACTATCTGATTGATATTTCAGAGGTCGTGGTCAGTTATAGATCTGATTCACTGTAAAAATCCGAGAAATGTAGTTATTGTTAAGATTGATTAGGAGTGGATGGAACTGAATTAGGAAGTTTTCTGTTTTGAATTCCAATAATGTCATTCCCTTTCATGGTTGTTGGGTTTCGTAAATCAAATTAATCTTCGGGCCTACAAGTGAACGAGAGTGTTAAGAATATAAGAATTTGTATATTCTAACATATCAGCTTCCATCTACCTCAGCTACGGGTCATCGTGCTCTGCGGCTTCGATTTTACAATTGTTTCGAGTTTGTCTTCTGATAGCTTACTGCCTTCTCGACTCTTTACAGATGCTGGACTACAATGTGCCTGGAGGTGGGAATCAAACACTTGAAAGATTATTGTGTTCTTTGATCATACTATTGGACATATCAGACTCTTTGGAGGGGCTCTTTGATGGGGAAGTAAGCTGAATTCTAACTGGAAATGATTTTTCCTGCAGGAAAGCTTAACCGAGGGCTCTCTGTTATTGATAGCTACAAATTGTTGAAAGAAGGAAAGGAATTGACTGAAGATGAAATCTTTCTTGCCAGTGCTCTTGGATGGTGTATTGAGTGGGTAGGTCATTAACAGTACAGCTAATCTTATTACCTTTCTTTGAGGATTTATTATCAAGATGATATACTCATGAATTTTTGCAAATCTCTGCAGCTCCAGGCATACTTTCTTGTTCTTGATGATATTATGGATAACTCTGTCACACGACGCGGTCAACCTTGCTGGTTTAGAGTGCCCAAGGTTTGTGCCTAGGAAACAACATATAGCATTCCTCAATTTGTTATTGTTACTGCATTTAACAACTGACCAGTCTATGCTATTCTTGGCAGGTTGGGATGATTGCAGTAAATGATGGAGTTCTACTCCGAAATCATATTCCTAGAATTCTAAAAAATCACTTCAAAGGGAAGCCGTATTACGTGGATCTGCTCGATTTGTTTAATGAGGTAGTTTCATGGCAGTGACTAGAATGGACGTATTCGAATCATGATCTATAACTTGCTAAAGTTGATGTTTTTCATGTTCAAATAGGTTGAGTTTCAAACAGCATCAGGACAAATGATAGATTTGATAACCACTATTGAAGGAGAAAAAGATCTTTCCAAATATGCATTGTCACTGTGAGTTTCAACCCCATGTTTGGCTTCTTTTAATTGGTGCAACAAAGTCTAAATGGTACATGTGAGAGATCCAAGTAAACCAGGAGGTTTATTTGGTCCTTTCAACTTCAAATCAAAATACATAACCTTGTATATTCCTTTTATTAATTTGAGGTGATTTCTGATGCACATTCAATATTATCACTTGCAGTCATCGGCGCATTGTACAGTACAAGACTGCCTATTATTCATTTTACCTTCCAGTGAGTATACTCTTTCTTGCTCTACTTTAAGATAGCTTCACACTGATACAAAATATTTCCCTCTGCTATATTTTCTCGGAAGAAGTGGTTAATAATCTATTAGCAGTTTCTTGGTGGCTTTGCATTATCCATTTAGTTATATATAGAGTATGTGAAGTGCCATTTCACATATCCTCGCTCTAATATAATTCAAAATATTGCTCGCGATGGATTTGGTTGACCGTGTGCTGTTTCTGTTTCGATCATAGGTCGCGTGTGCACTAGTTATGTCAGGTGAAGATCTTGAGAAACATACTGTGGTTAAGGACGTTCTTGTTCAGATGGGTGTCTATTTTCAAGTTCAGGTATATTACTTTTGCCTCAAGAGTTAACCGGTGATCATGATTCCCATTGATATAATGCAAACCACAGTCATAGTCTTTTAAGAAAAGTTCGGGCCGAGGTTCGATCCTAAGATATTCCCCTAACCTGCTTCAAGCAGATCTCCTAAATACAATGCTTATATGCTTTCTACCGAATGATCTTAGCTTTGCCTTCAAGAGGTGGCCACAAAGTTTGCTCCATACTCCATAGACTCCAAGTTCTGTGATGCATCTTTAGCATGCCATTTTTAGAAAATATCTTGTTCATAATGTGTCTTTGTATTGTTTTAACAGGATGACTATCTAGATTGTTTTGGTGATCCCGAAACCATCGGAAAGGTGAGTTGAGCATGTTGTGTGTTAATACTTTTCACACCTCATGCAGTTCTGTTGAACCTTATATTCATTAAGTTCTTGCATCAACCTGAATGTTGTCACAGGTGGGAACAGACATTGAAGATTTCAAATGCTCTTGGTTGGTTGTGAAAGCTCTGGAACTTTGCAACGAGAAACAGAAGAAATTGTTACACGTAAATGCCGCATATCCTAAAATCCTCTCTTCTTTTCTGACCAGTTGTGCAAGAATTTTCTCATTTTTTATGTTCTTCCAGGAGGCTTATGGGAAACCAGACCCAGAAAATGTTGCCAAAGTAAAGGCCATCTACAAGGAGCTTGATCTTCAGGTTTGAAAGCTACATTTTGTAAAAAGAAAGAATATAACCCGAAAGCGCGATAGAAGCGATTTGATATTTTTGTACTAAATCACTCCCAAACACACCCTAATTTTCTAATTTACTGCGGATGGAGTCGAGATAGTCTCGGCTCAACTCCATAACTTAAGCCCTCTCTCTTCTTGTTGCTTAGTGTAGTTGATTTTGACAGGGTGTATTTGAGGAGTACGAGAGGCAGAGCTACGCTAAACTGAATGCCTCCATTGAAGCTCATCCAAGCAAAGCAATTCAAGCAGTTCTCAAGTCTTTCTTGGGTAAAATATACAAGCGCCAGAAGTGAGCTTCTCCTACTCTTTGCCCCTCCCTTGGCTTTGGCCTTAGCATTCTTAATTAGCTTGTATTGTAACAAATAACACTAGTTTTTCGTTTACAATTTTTGTGTCTCTGAATAAGGTTCTACTACCTTTATTTATAACCTTTTGGAATTTGAATCCTTTTTTTTCTTTTGAATTTGAACTTTTTTCTTTTCTCATTCAGAATTAATTTTACTGGTCAGCACACGAGGATGAATTAAAATTTGTGACCAGCAGCAATCTTTTCCATGAAAATTTAACACTTATTTCATATATATATATATATATATTTTTCCTGCATTTTTCTCTGGTAAAAAAAAAATAATGGTTGTTAGCAGAATATGTGAGCTAACCGAAAAACATCTAAATATTATTTCATAAAATTGTCTTCATCCCTCTCATCCTTCTCTATTGGATGAAGATTGGACAATGCCTTCGAGAGGGTCTTCACGATTGTTATTAAATCACTGACGGACTAATGTGTGTTTTGATAAGTAATCTTTTGTAGAGATAATCGTAATATAATCTTTTCTTAAACAAATAACTTCAAGAAAGGTAATTAATAGGTGCTTTATAAGGCCAATTGTGCTTAAAATTTTTTTTTTAAGTACAACACATGAGAGAAAAATTTTAACTTGTGACCTCTTGGTCAGAGACAATCGATTAAGTTATACCAGATTGGTTTAAACTAAGCTCGAATGCGGGAATTATATACCAACATATATGTGTTAATTTTAGGTACATGTACTCTTTTATGAAATTGAAAGGGAATAAAAATTGGATTTGCGTAAAACCAATAATTAGAAAGTTGATACCTTTCACATCTCACACATCCACCGGCTTAATATATATTCCACAAACTCAAATCTTAATGATCTATTCATTTTCACTATTCAAATACATGCTATACAAATTAAAAGTTCCTAACTTTTAAGTCTCAACTCAAATTTATTTAAATTATGAACCAGATTTCCCATTTCAACCTAGTTTAGTGGTTACCTCGCTTAAATTAGGACCCTTGTTTTGAATCTTCACCATGCAATCTAATGTTCTAGAAATAAAAATTAAAAGAAAAAAAGAAATTTTTTTCCCATAAGTTGGACATCCTAAGAAAAAAAGTTGAGGGAGAGAAAGACTCATAATTTAGATCAGGTTTAATTACAACAAATCGAAATGGGAATGAATTGGAATGATATCAATTGGAGAATGGTATTCTGTTGATGTTGGTGTGGATGTGTCTCACCAATTATTAAGCATATATTTTTTAGTTTATAATGTTGGATTGTTATTATTTAAAAGAAAAAACTTTTTAGCCTCTTGTATCCTTTTGCAAAGGAAAAAAATATAAGAGGCTAAAAAGTAATGATTTTCAATTACTCCTTCATCATATGTGTTAAAATCAGTAAACTTATATCATAATACTAGTGCTTTGAAAAGAAAATAAATAATGAATTACACAAAAGAGGAAATTTTCTAATTTCTTAACCCAATTTCCATAAGTCAAAAGAAATTTCATTCGATTTTAAAATCCATAAAAAATGTATAATTAAAAGAACTGTTAAAATATAAAAGACTAAATTAAAACTTTTTAAACAATCCAGATTAAATCAAAGAAATAGCTAGGAACTAAAACATATATTTATTCTAAAATGAAACATATATTTAACCTTAACCCTCCATTTAGATAAAAAAAATAATTTTGAAACCGCTACATAATTTTAAATTCATGTTTGAGTTGAAAATGATTTGAAAGGAATATAATTAAATTTCTTGGTTCGAATAGGAAGATAAAAAGTTTACTATATAAGCTTTTAATCTTCCTTTATTAATTAAAAAACTATACTTACAAAATCCTATAAAATCCCGGATCAATTTTTGTTGCAAATATAATTTGAAATCAACTTTTATGTGATAACAAACCACAAAAGTCATTTAAAATCCATCTAACATAGGAAATCACTCAAAATTCTAAACTACTAAAATATCGTATAAAAAGTATCATATAAATATTTCTTTTTGATATCTATGGATATTCGAGCCAATTTACACGCACCTCAAGACTACTCAAAATTCTAAACTACTAAAATATCATATAAATATTTCTTTTTGATATCTATGGATGTTCAAACCAACTTACACGCACCTCAAATAATCTAACGGCTATATAAATTTTTCGTTAACTATTTTGTAATTCCTTTGCGGTTAAAAACACGTAGCCAAATGCCAAATACCAATTGCCAACCAAGTTGCGGAATCAAAAACAGTGTGAACTGGACAATGGTCAAGTGGCATGGCTGTTTCTTCCCTCCCAAAAAAAAAAGGAAAAACGAAGTCTGCTTCTCCCCATTCCTTGTATTCTCATTTCTCATGGATAAGCATTAGCCTTCTCCTTCTCCTTCTCCTTGTCCATGCAACAAACAAACACAACATTAGATTTTAGGATCAACAACTACTCTGCTTCTTCAAACACTTGCTCTTTCATCCTCAACATGAACAACACTACTTTCTTCTCTGCTTTCTTCCTACTCCTAGTCGTCGGATCTCGTGATGGCCACCTTCTCCCAGCTACTGCAGCAGTGGCAGTGCAGGGTGGTGGTCATATACTGACGAACCCGACGGTGAAGAAGATGGTGGTTCAACCACAAGGTGAGCCATGCCGAGCCGATTTCGAACCTTTTGAACTATTCCCCCTTCATCTAACATTTGTTAAGTTTGTGTTGTTGCAGGTTGTCGCTGCTGTTCTTTCATTTGGAAGCCACAGATCCATTGCGGCAGAGTATGCTGTGGAGATAACTGCTGCTGACACTCCTAACATTTGGCTTCATTTCTCTGAGATCTCAAGACGTCTGCCTTGTCTTCAACTATTGCTGAATCCCTCTCTCTCTCTGTAAGAAAGTGGATAGTTCCACTACAATGAGAAGTTCTGCAACTCTTCTCCATAGTAAATAAGGACCATCCCTTTCTCTCTCTCTTATTCTCTAAGAAACTGAATAGTCTCAATAGAATGAGAAAGTTATGCAACTCTTCTGCTTATGCTCACAAAATAACAGAGAAGAATGAAGATATATGCATAAGAAAAGTTATAACAAGATCAACATGAATGAATAACACATATATGCTTAAGCGGGTTAACTTTGCGTTCTAGAACAATGAAATGAATACTTAACCCAGTATAACCTTCAACGATCTGCTATAGTATGCTAACGTTCTAACACTAATGCCTATTGTTTACTATCTATAACCTCAACCATATCTTAATAGATTCAGTTTCAATGCACCGTGGAAAATTCCCTAAAATAAAAGACTTGTATTTTCACAATGCCAAAGTCCAAAAAACGAATAATATTGATACCCAGATGAGTGCCAACCCACTTGATGGTCGAGAACTGAACGAACGGTTGTCGGTGACGCCAACAAGGAACCTACACTGGCCAATGGAGGGATCTAGGAACGTGATCATACCAAGGCCACCAAACTCACAGCTCTGCTCATTCTGCATCTGGAGCTGATAGTAGCTGTTGAATGCATATGAAATATTCCCCTTCGCGCCAATTGCATTGCATGATCCTCCATAGTTGAGCGTTGAGCAATCTGCAACGCTGCAGGCTAGCCTTATGTGATTAGTGACATCAGTTAGATCCCTGAACGGATTGGCGACGCACCATCTTGAGGGAAGATACTCCACATTCTTTGCATTTTTCAGTACCTTGTTGCCCAAACCAAGGTTTAAAGGATATTTTGCCTGGCCATCAAAAGAAAAAATACCCCAGTGCCTCTCAAAATTCCCTGGAAGTACACTCTTAGCCCCTTCATCAAGTAGGCTGAAAAGGTAGATGTCTACAGGAGGCACCCCTGGCCTCAAAGGAGTTCCTTTGTTCTTTAGAACTTGATTAATCAGGCCCTGGTTGAAGACTCTCGCAGCTGTGAGATTTGCACCCATGGCTCCATCCGTGGGCCAGCCCACCTCCCCTATAACTATTGGCATCTGTCCGTATCCAAGTTTGGTGAGTGCTGCAACTAATGTGTCGTAGTTTCCATCAAATGCATTATAGTAAACATTACTTCCATCTGTAACAGCATGGGTAGTCCCTTCAAAAAATGCATAGTCTTGTGGGAAGTCCGAGTTGCCATAGAGGCTTAAAAACGGATATATATTCACAACAAATGGTGAACCATTTGAGTTGAGGAATGACACAAGTTGAGTCATAATTTGCGTCAATTCGGGCCTGAATGTTCCCTGGGAAGGAAGTGAAGACTCATATGCATCAGCATTACAAGGGACAACTAACTTCACATAGCTTGCAAGATTTGCTTTTGCTAAAGATTGTTGAAGATTGAGCAAAGCAGGCATGATGTATGACTGAAACTGACCATTGTAACTGGTGAGAAACGGCTCATTTCCTACTGCAACATACCTGTCACATAAAGTGCACAGTAAATGTAAGAAATCTGATACTAAATTACTTGCTCCTACAACATTTGATTTGTGGATGAATGCATTGGTGCAGGAAAAACGGCAGAAGGGAAGTTATGTGATATCAACAGCCTTGACCTATTGTAATCATTTACATTCATAGCTCTAAGGAGCAAATTCTTGACAAATTAGACTTGAATTCAATAAAAAACCAGAAAAAATAATCTTGTTGAAAGATTACAAGAATTTCTAGAACCTTGCACTGCCCCAGTTCTCTTACTCGTTTACTACCAACCACACCTCATTTTCCCCTTCTATTTACAATTAATCTTTCCTTCACTTCCTATCTCTCTGGTCACTCGTCGCTAACATACTCAAGCATAACTAACCATGCATTAGAGTACCAAACTGCCCTTCGTATCTATCTACTCCTCTTCCACCCCTCCAAGACTTCCTTTTCCTTCCTGTACTTCTCTCCTCTTTATCCTAACATTTGTGCAAGGGTACTTGGGGTCATACACACGACGAAATCACATAATAGTAAGTACAAATTGTTGCTTGCGACACTGTCATCCAAATCCAATTTTCATTGGGTAAATTGATACACATAATAGACATGGTAACTTGGTAAGAACAACCACAATGTTGCTTTGGGCAGCATTCAAACATGGATATCATCGCATACCATATTTTTTATAAAAATATATAATAAATAAGTATACACAATAAGCAAATATATGCACACACCATACCTGAACCATCAATTAGCTTTCAGTTATAAGCATTACCGCAAATACAATGACTGGATTTTGGATATTACTGTAAAGACATTATCATAGCCAGAACTGCTGAACGTTTTACTAACATGATTTGGAAAGCTATAATGCCACAAGGAAAAGCAAAATCATTTGCTTCGTGGTCATGGGTCACATACAGAGAATAACACTACTGATGGGTTCAAAAAGTAATCCTCATTTCCAAATATGAGTGTAAAGCATCAGGGTAAGACACTTGCCATCATATATAGAATTGTTCCTTCTCTGGAATTCGAATACAATTTCTAAACTTCTTGTAGTGTGCCTCAGTATTTACCACTAATTGAAAGAAACTTCCTAATTCAAATTTCTAGAGGCTTGGTTTTCAAGGATCAGGTAAAGTACGGGATATGAAATGCTTGTTGAAAGAGAGCAGGGACGAGGATGATGATAACCACAACAATTTAAGCATACACATATATTACCACTCATCAGATTCAGATATAAATCACCCTAAAAAAGGACCATACTATTCGCATTTAATAAGAAAAATTAATGGCGATTACACAGAAAGTATTGTAGAAAGGGCAGTGGAAGGCACCATAACAGACACTGTATGCTTGCAGTAAGCAAATCAACAGAGGAACTTCATTACAAGCACCTATTAGAGAGAAAAATTGAAAAGTATGTTTGTATCTCGCACATTTTTCAAACGTATCCAGTTCAATACGGCCCGAGAAACAATCGGAAACCCACAGCCAATATAACATTTTATTCTACAAATGGATGAACAATGCAATAAATGAACAAAGCCTTGTTGAAGAAAAGATTCCGAAAGGAACGAATAGTTTTCGTTTTCAATTATTACCTTCTGTAAGCAAACAAAACCCTCGCAAAGAACAAGAACAGAAACCATACCACAAATTTACGGAGAAAATAAAATCCCAACACAAACTAGAATTTCGCAAGAAATGGAAAAAAGGAAAGAGATGTAGTCATTATCAACAACGCACCTGATATCGACGCCCCCTTTAACAACATAGGAAGACACATTCTGGCGAACCCATAGATCAGAGGCAAGCGCGGATGAGCTCAAGGAAGCGAGCATCTCGTTAGGGACTCCAACCATAACCTGGATCCCAGAACCCATTAAAGCCTTGAGCACACTCGGCTCTGCATCAAAGAGTTTCACTTTCTCTATCCGGTTGCTCTTGAGGAGACCGACGACGGTGGACGGTTTCAGCTTGTGGAACGAAATCGTGCCCCAGTTCACTCCAATGGCAGATTCCACCACCAAAGACGAACGGAAAAGTAGAATCAAACAGAGGAGGGCTGCTTCAAACCTACGCTCCAGCATTTCTGTTTGAGATTATTCGATGTTTGGCTCCAAAATACTAACAATAGTTCAAGAAGCTGAGGTGTGCAGGAGAGCTGCGGCGATGGTGGCGGTGGCGGTGGCGGTGGCGGAGCTGTAAGAAAAACGGCAAAAGGCGGTGGTGGAGTCAGAGTAACCGCTTGAGGAGTAAAGGAGAAGCGAACTGATGGATATGAAGAAAATCATTAACATAAATTTGGACATATTTACATAAATACCACTCATTATGGGATCAAATTTGCCCTTTTAGGTAGGAACAAAATAATTAATTATGCTTTTAAGATCTGCCATGTTATTGAGTATAAATTAATTAGTTATAAGTTTCATTTTAATAATATTTTATTTCACGAAAAATAGTAGGCCCAAATTGGATTGTAAAATTGGGCCTGATCAATTGGATTTGTGTAACAATATTATTTTAATGGAAAAATATACTTTTTTTTTTACCATAAATTTTCAATTACGTCCAAATTTATCTTAAATTTAGATAAGTTTTACCATCCCTTTAATTAAAAAGTATTACAATTTCTACCTACTAATATGTTTTGTTTAAATAATCATTCAGAAAAATAGCTCATTGTCCAATAAATTATAAAACATAATATTTTATATGAAATTGATATGATTCGAACAAAAATGTTAATAATTTTTTTTTGTTCAAATTTGAGTTTTTAAATAGTTGATTTTGTGCCACCATCAAATATAATTCTGTATAAAGTTTGATTTTCATTAAATTCTTTACATGATTTTTTTTTTAAATTACACTTCGTTAAAACAATATTAAGGGGCCAAAGGGCTACAACAGGATAAAAATCCTCTTTAACCTTTTTGACAATCCAATAAGGGAAAAGAAAGCCACGAAAAGGAATCGTTGAACCTAAAAGTTAGCCTCTTGCGGCATCATGAGCAACTTTATTTTAATGTCTGCTGTTGGGTTTGTAGGGAGAATGCAAACAAAGGCCAAATTTAGGAATCTTTTATATTTTCCCCCTTATATCTTTTTGATTAATTATTTTTGGGTAATTGAGATGGATGATTATTATTTGAGCAACATTATTGATATGCCAGTTTCTTTTTTTAACAATGCCAAATGATTAAATGACGCGGAAACAAGTGAAGAGTATGATAAGCCAAATCGAGCATAGCTCAAATAGTCAAGACACCTATCTTTGATCAAGAGGTCATGAGTTCAGACCCCTACCCCTACATGTTGTATAAAAAAAAAAGTGAAGAGTATGATAAACATTAATACATACTACCAACATGAGCAATAGCTGTTTAAGATATCTTGCCTCTGAAATTCTGTCAAATACCATTGTTCTAGCTGCAATATCTCTATGAAAATGGGTATGCCAAAGTGAGCAGCTCAACGGTAATTGGTATACGTTTTTTGACAAATGATCAGTCGTCGGTCGATTTTGTTTTTATTTATTATAAAAAAAAGGGAAATGAGGGGTTTTGAACTCCTTCCTCACATTTGTAGAAAACTTAGAGATCACATAAAATTTGGTTAAATTATAAAATTTGGTTTTGAATTCAGATTAAATTTGATTATGTTATTTTATCTTTTTTTAATTATTGGTCCCTAAAACTTTAAATATTTGTTAAAAAAAACATTTTAATTTCCTCCCTGAATTTCCTTTAATGAGTTTATTATTATTGGAGTCATGTAGGTTGTACGTAATTAAATTTTATCTATATTTTTTCTCTAATATATATAATTTGAATAAGCCAAAAAAAAGAAAGAAGAAAAATTTAGAACAATTAGAAATAGCTACAGAAACGCCAACAAACCAAATCAAATAAACTAAATGAGAGTGTAAATTGTAAAAAAGCCTGCCGTGAAAATCTCACAACTAAAACGGTTTGGAAGATTCAAAAGATTTAAAATTACACTTATTTTCGTCTTTTGTTCGTTTCCTAATCCAACTAGAAAAAGAAAACTTTTAAAATTTAATAAATAGATTCATGAGCCCAATTTTTTATTTAATTTAGTAGTACTCCAATTCCTATAGGAATTATGCAAAATCTTTCCTTTATAAAGAGGAGGGATCATTAAACAAAGTCATTATTAATCGATCGTTAGGCCAAAAGACAATTCAAGAAGATGAAGCTCTCTAATTCCATACTTGCAATTTTTTCCTCGTTGCTTCTGTTTTCTTTGTTAATATCACCTGCCATTGCTGCCAAAAAGGTAATGAAACCCAAAAAAAAGGGTCTTGTTTGGGAATTATTTTTCTTTTAGGCTATTTTTTTTTTAATTTCCAGAAGAGTTTCTTTAACAAGTTGTTTGATGATCTTAATTTTCCTTTTTTGATTGTTTTTGTTGGGCCATCTATGGTTTTACAAAACCCTAATTTTTTTTCTCTGTTCTAATTATTGTTATTTTCCCATRTGAATGGTAAAGTAAAATATGGCATTGTTGGATCGATTTTGATTTTAAGTATTATCAAAAACCTTAAAATTGAGTGTTATTTTTTATATAACTTTAATGATCGTTGTGTATATTTCATAAAAACCCTCAAATTTATTGTTCTCCTATAAAGAAATTGTGAAAAAACAGTATAAATTTTTGGGCGTTGCTTCTTTTTTTTTTAAATTTATTTATTGGTTTATTTTTA